GAACGTAACCCCTGGGGCAGAATCACACTCACTTAATGGCAGATAAAAGTGCTTCTTTGAAGAGTCTAATGTCTTTGGAATGCCTCCTAGGTACCCTGTCCTGCGGATTCCAGCAGCCAGCAGGTTATGAAGAGACTTTGGGGCCTTTTGCTACTGTTCTGGGTGGTCAACTTGTTGGTGACGGTGCCTGGCTAAAAGTCCAACAATAGCTGCATGCTGGTGAAGCATCTGGTCAGCTCCTTCTGGGAAACCCAGCAGCAGGAATCACTGAAGGCTCCGGAGCTGCCCTTCACCATTGCTCACCCCCTAGTGGGCAGCCTGCTGGATGACCAGGGCACTAGGCAATTCCTTGCCTTCTTCTTGCTCTCCGACTTCTCAAAACATAATTTCTATTTGAAGATTGTTCCACCTCCATGAAAGATCTATCCTTAATTTTTAGCAAGTCAAGGTTTCCCTTCTGAGTACTTATATTTATTAACCTCCCTCAAAGTAAGGTTAGGTTCATGGAAATACTTCATGTGTTTTGTCATGACATGAAGTATCCCTAAACCAGCTCCATTTCCTCCAAAATTCACTGCAGTATGAGGCAAACACACAGAACATGGAGGGCAAGAGTTTTAGCTAAAATTTAATAGCCATTTACAAGCTTTATATTCTATTTCAGAATCTTGACTCAAATGGCACTTGAAATGCAGAGCTAAATCATGGGTTAAGAATATCATTTTGTAAGTGACCTTCACAGTCTGATTTAAAGGTGCTAAGGCCTTAAAGCAGTTGTTCCTCTTGGTTTGTTATTTCTGGCACACACTTCTCTCTGCATGTTTTAGGGGACCAGTTTTTAACATGTTTGCAAAAACTTCAGCTAATTTTTCATTTGTGAACTCACCATATCAGTTCCAACTATCCATCTGGATTTGTTGATTGCCAAAATGACAGCCATACTCCTCCATACATAAAGACAAAATTTGATCTTTGTTCAGGATAAAGAAAGGTAAGCTATTTCCAAATGAGAGCATCTAAACAGTCACATACTTCTCTTATCTCTAAATACAGCAGCTGGGGCCAGTGCAAATCTTCACAGTACAAAAGGAGAGGAGAGAAAAAGGCAGCTCCTCATGTTCTGAGGAATAACATTCAGTTTTGAATTAAGACTACAGTTCATTTACTTTTAGGATAACGCAATGATCTGTATCTTAATTTTTTTATATTATTAGACAATTGCTATAAACGTGCAATAAAGCATCTAGTATATCTCACATAGCAAGTATGCAGCTGTGATTTTAGGGTATGTGATCTTCATTTTTAAAAACAACTATTGCCCGTGAACTCAAAAAATATGTAAGTTGGCAATATCCATCAGTTGCCCCATGAAACTCATAAAATCTTTCCTGTCCCTCTTGCAGATCTCAAAACAACATCACAGCAGGACTATAATCACCCACGACAGTCATATTTACAAGATGCAATTTACTGTAATGACAAATATAAGAATTCCTTCATCACAAAGTTGTTTCCCTGAGACATTTGTGTCTTCCTATCAATATGAAAAACAGCATTTAAGGGTAAGCATACTGTTAGCAGCACAGTTCAACTGAAAAAATAATCTACTCAAACCTGTCAATTCTCACTAAAGGATAATTAATACAATCTCAAAGATATAATATAAGTATACATGAAATTCATTTATCACATTTAGTTGTTGAACATGAAGAATTTTATATTTGGACAGAATTTCACCCAAGGAGTCAATGTCAATATACGGAAGCATTAAGCTTGCCTTATGTTGCAGCCCTTCATAGTTGTATCTCCAGGGTGCCAAGAAGCTGTTTCAGATAGATTTCTTTGCATTGCCTCTCCAAGTGATTTCAGTGCTCATGAAAACCATCATAGAAAAAGTAAAAGGCAAATGATAAAAGTTCCTTAAAAAGAAGATTTTCCTGCCTTCAGACAGAAGCTAAAGTCATTTCTAAAGGAACCCAGCATATTGACTGCGCATGATTCCTCACTAGTTCAAAAAAAAGAGAGAAATAGCAATACATACATTTTATAATACATCAAATCAAAAAGAGGAATGTGGGTTCTATGCATATTAATACTGACAAAATTCAGTAGCCAATATTACAGTCTTCACACATCTTAAAAATGAGTGGTGACTAATGAATGATATTTCTGGAATTGTACATAACCAGTCCTATATTTGTTTTTGGACATCAAAATTCATAGTATTTAATGAGTCACAGATGTTATCTATAGGAAGACCTTAACCTTTAATCAATTATACCATTTGAGTAAATTTCATAACAGTGTTTCTTAATTGTGTTCTGCTTTAGAATGCCGAACCATTCTGTGAACACTGCCTAATGCCACACAAATGTCCACAATGAACAAGCAGCATTTCTCTAGGTTTCTGAAATTCACCCACAAGCAGTGGGTCCAAGTGTCCATGTTATTATTCCCTTGAAGTCTCCATTTAAAGACTACATGCCTGGAGGAAGACAAAGTTAACAGCAAGCAAGCAAATATTCCTGCTGCAGTCGCTTCCCTGAGAATGAAACATTTTGCTTTTAAAAAGCAAATTAAGGTTTCAAGTACACATAATTCAGAAAGAGCTGGTGGATCGAAACATAATTAACGGAAGCATTTGTGTTTCAAAAGTAATCTGAAAAGACTGATTCATATTCTATTCCATACAAATATTCAGTTACGGAAATTAGGTGCATTCACAGGGATTTCACTGCACAACAAATCATTAAAAATTATATAAGAGAAAGGGAAAAAATAAATAAATGCAATCAAGAAAAGATTAGGAGGTCTATTAAGTTCATGTAACAACTCCTTTGCACTAATAGACAGCTTGGAGAATCAAAACAAAATGATCATTCTTGGTCATGAGCGGAGGTGCTCCATATTTGATTTAGAAAGGCTTCTGAAAAGTTAACTTCACTGTTGGGACGTGACCCCACGTACAAAACGGTGCTTTTGCCACTGCCTGACTTTCTCTTAGAGACATGGGAAAATGTAGACTCAGTGATTGTGGTAGTTTAGGGAGAATTCAAATAGAGCATATCCATACTTTTAGCAAAACAATACATCTATCCATATAGAGTTGATAGGCCTGAAGCTGTTGTTGAAGAGGGCAGTTTCTACTTAACTTTCACTGACTTCTAGCATAATAAATGCCCATTCTTATCACCTAAAAGAGTTACAAGCAATGGCTGGGCACAGTGGCTCACACCTCTAATCCCAGCACTTTGGGAGGCTGAGGCGGGCAGATCACCTGAGGTCAGGAGTTTGAGACCAGCCTGGCCAACATGGTGAACATGGCCAACATGGTCTCTACTAAAAATATAAAAATTACCTGGGTGTGGTAGCACACGCCTGTAATCCCAGCTACTTGGGAGGCTGAGACAGGAGAATTGCTTGAACCCAGGAGGCAGAGCTTGCAGTAAGCTAAGATCTTGCCATTGCACTCCAGCCTGGGTAACAGAGACTCTGTCTAAAAAAAAAAAAAAAAAAAAGAGTTACATGGAAAATAAGCCAAGTATACGCACTTTAAAGCACCTTCAAGTAAACCATTTCTCTTCTCTTATGGTATGCCTTTTGAATACTATTCTTTTCTAAATTCTGTTTACTGTATATTACCATTTGGGAAAGAACTTGATTTCAAACTCTCACCCCACAATTAGAATTTGTGCCTCTCTAGGCCTGTGCTTCCTGCATGAAGAAATGTGCCCCTTCCATACATTGAAAGATATAAAGAATTATAGTGCAGGTTCAAATTAACTTGGAACAGAAATAAAATTTTGCCTGGGTAAATCAATATCATAGCATTTTGATTTTGTTTATGAATTTTACATATGGATAATTGGTTTGAAAGCTGAAACTGAAACTTTCATTACTGTATTTGCATCTATTATCTTACCTTACAGTGTATCTGTAATTATTAATTTGGCTTAAAGAAAGATCCATTGACAATCTTCAAAAGCATTAGTGCATGATTAAAGGGAATTTGGATATAATTTAAGTATTAAATATGCTCATTTAAAAAATAGTGTAGATTTTCATACTAGACAGAAAGAAGGTTATGGTCTTTCAAGCACTGTACATATATTGAACTAAAATCGATTCAGTCATACTAAAAAAAAAATGTAAACAAAGATGACAGAACTCCATGAAAAGTAAATAAAAAGTATATTTCAACTTTCAGATTACTAATTATGTAGAATAAATTGCTCTTTAGGTAGCTAGAAGTGTAGACAGATTTGGCAATGAGGGCATTTCTTGTCATTACACCAGAGTTTTAAGAAGCTGACTGAAGAGAAGGAGTTTAAGCCCAATGAGAATCTAGTAGATTTTCATCATAATTCTCCCTGCATAAGGGATGATACACAGTTTGGCATTCTGATTTCTTTTTCGTTGAGCTGTCTGAATGAGTAAAAAAGGGATTTAACTTATTTTCATTTCAAATTCCCAAACAATAAAAATTCGTAAACAATTTAGGTAATTGTAATAAGGAGGGAATTAGGACGAGGAATATTGCATGTTTTTCATAGATTCTATGAACCCTTCAAAGTGCTCTAAAAATACTATAAGTTTGATTAGCAGCAAAGCATTAGTCTAATCAACACCTCTCTCCTTCCACCCTCATGTATGTACATATACACACACTGTACAGCAATATATTCTATTAGTCTAACTTAAATCTGACAGTTTGACAGTTGCCCCCAGAGGCTGTGCAAGGTTACAAATACTGTCTACACTGTATCACAGTTCAAGACCACCAGCACCCAAGTGGTTAAGCGAGAACCAACCCGTCCATTAAAAAAAAAAAAAAAAAAAAATCACATATTTTGAATTTCTTTAAAGATACAAATGGAGGATACAGTGAATCACCCAATATATTATTCTGAGTCCTGTAACTGTCTTTATCTAAAATATGTTTTGCATATGGAAGGCTAGATGCCTTTAAATATACTTTTAGCAATTCTGAGTATCCAATGTGCCTTTGAAAAATATGACAAGTTTTTTTTTAATGTTGAGGAAAATTCTGTAAGAGCGTTTTTTGTTGTTGTTGTTTTTGGGTTTTCCCCCCACAAAGATGAATTTTGCAACATTTCCTCCCAGCAGCACACTGACAGCTCTGACATCCTGTATATAATGCGTTCTGGCAATGAAGCCCTCAGGCACTGCAGCTGTCATATACTCCAGCACAGGACCCCCAGAAAGAAGTCCTGCAGGCCCCACGGCATCTTGGTCTTTTCCACACCCTCCAGCAGCACCCAATCCTTGGGCATCTTGCAATAGTGGCTGAAGTCCAGAACTTGAACTTCACTGAGAAAACCAAGTCCACTCAAAATGCAGCATTTTCATCTTTTGGTTGGGTGATTCTTGGTCCCCCATGGATAGGAATGATACCTATAAGATTCAGAAGTGGAAAGAATTCTCTATAGTTACAAATATTTTAGTTCATACGTTCAATTTCAAAAACTGGGGCTCAGGCATAAGAGTAAATAAATCACAGTAAATAAAAAGATGATTATTTTTGTTAGGATGGGAACATTTTTAAAAAGCTGCCTTTGCCTGGAGTCTGGTGCTAACAAGACCTTTCTCAAATTATGAACTCAATAGGAACTGATAACACTTTGTAGTAGAAAAACAAATACTCATTCAAAGTAGCTTGTATATTTGAATACCTGTGTAGGTTAAAATAACTATTTTACACGCTTATCAGTCAATAGGGGAAATAAAGCAATTCAAGTTGATTCAATGTCAATTTCTTGTTATCTTGTATATTGTATATTTCTCAACATATATTGAATATTTCTCAACATATATTTTATTAAAAATAAAATATTAATGTAAATACTCAAGTATATTCATAAAGATGATATGCTTATCATCTGTTTATTCATAACTTGGATGATTTTATCCTCACAAACAACAAAGATAAAATTAAGGCATATTAAGTTGTATCCTCCTGGTAAGCAAGCTAAATGCTTATGTATGTGAAATGTAATTTATCATACAATCATGCAAATGATCAAAAATAGAGCCTGCTTTGGGAAGAGCTGTGAGGCTGGCCAAGGCTTTTTGACCTTCTTTAATTTTCTTTACATAGTTTCCTTGCTTCCAACTCAGTCCTAGCTCCCTTCTTCCCAGAAGCCCAGAAATGAGAAATACCCCACCTCAGTCAGGTCCTTGCTGCTATTTCTGTTCCAGTTACATTTTCTTTTCCTAATGCAGCATTTTATGCCTGAGACATTCTTCCTGACTGTCCAAGAAGTCTCCTCATGATTTAAACAGTTCCAGAAATCTTCCTCAAAGATAGCTAACAGATAGAAAATGGCTTTATCCTGAGACTTTCAGTCTGAAAATGGCACCTCTCTATTCTCTTCCTTAACTAAATATAAACCCACAATTTAAGCCAAAAATGTACCTTCTCTTGAATTAATCCTTGAGTGAGTGGCTGGCTAGATGATGTATGTACTACTCAAACTGATAGTCTTAAATTGTAAACTTGAAGAACACAGGAATTATGTATGTAACTTTCTCGGCATGGTGCTTAATTCATTTAAGAACAAATTTTGCAATGATGATGATGACAATGATGACCACGTCAATGAGAACAACAGAGATCTGGGTAGACCGTGGTAAAGGAGTGAAAACAGTGTTCCCCATTTCCAGCCACATAGCTAAAACAGCTTTCCTCAATTGTGTTCATGTAAAGAGTGAGGAAAACACTGAGGTCAACAAACAAGGTCAACAGATTTCTTTCCTATAGTACATCTCGGAGTCTTTAATATAGTAATAGGTGTCAACATTCTCCAAAAATAAAAAATTGTACATTCTGAGTTTCCCAAATATATGTGGCCATGAAACTTTATTTTTCAGAGACTATGTATTGACATCTTTGATAATATTGCCCATTCTATGAAACCTATTGGGGAAAAAATGCAGTCTACTAATTCTTAATACTGATTCTAAATACCTCTACATATGCTGTGACATTTAGCATCCTCCATCCTTTGACTGTGGAAAAAAGCATGACAGTGCCAGATAATCTGATTTGTACTTGGAGTTATGTGTTATTTACAGTTTATGGATTATTAGGTGCTTCTAATTTAAGCCTGACTTATTTCTTGAGAATTATTTTGGAACACTAGTAAACAAACAGTGGCTTTAGGCACAAACAAGGGTTATTTTTACAAGCAAATTCTGGAGAGTTTTCTCCCAAGATGTGTTCTATCATTGCTATTAGAAGTCAAAAGGGGGTCGGGTGTGGTAGATCATGCCTGTAATCCCAGCACTTTGGGAGGCCGAGGCAGCTGGATCACCTAAGGTCAGGAGTTCAAGACCAGCCTGACCAACATGGAGAAACCCCGTTTCTACTAAAAATACAAAAATTAGCCAGGTGTGGTGGTGGGCGCCTGTAATCTCAGCTACTCGGGAGGCTGAGTCAGGAAAATCGCTTGAACCCGGGAGGTGGAGATTACACCATTGCACTCCAGCCCAGCCTGAGCAACAGAGCAAGACTCCATCTCAAAAAGAAAGAAAGGAAGGAAGGAAGGAAGGAAGGAAGGAAGGAAGGAAGGAAGGAAGGCAGGCAAAAAGGGAATACCATGGATATATGGGTTTTTAAATGTGATTCATTTTAATTTAGAGCACTTTAAGGAAATTTAATGTAATACCCAACTTATATTGCTTAAACTTGACTGTTCCAAGGTATGAATATAATACCTTCATATTATATTCACAACTACAAATATAACTGAATAATTTTTTGCCTTTGTTATAAGGCATCCTATTATCTGATTATCATAATAAGAAAATTTGCATGTCTTTTAATAAAGCAGTATGTCTTTGGAACTAGATCTGTGTAAAACCTAATGAAAGTAGAATTGAAAAAGAATAATGATAAATTCCAAAATAAGACTTAAATATTTTTTAATAAAGGGAAAATAAAAGTTCTTGTAAGAGCTTCCTTAAGTTCCTTGCACACTTAGTTTTCCTTGATATTTAAATGATTTTCTGCAAAAAATTTGAAGACATTCCTTGCCCATGATCCCAAGTCTCTGAGGAAATGCAGATAAAATGACAAGAGTGATCTTTGCCCCAGTACAAGCCAAGGGCACCTGAAATAATAAGGCTCAGAGTTAAAAACAGAAACATTCATACTATCCATGAAAGGCTGTATATACTCAGCCCTTGAATAGAAAATGAAAATTCAAAAATCTCTCCAGGGATGGTGGGAGGAGAGTAGTTGTGGAGATGGTAATTTCTATTAATGATATATCTTTAGAAAATGAGAATTACTCATCGTTCCTCTGCAGTTACAAATCACAACAGAACTACATTTATAAAGTTTAGTATTTTGAAACTCTGTTATCAAGTCAAAAGAGCAAGCAGTTGAATAATTTTACTTGTGATTCATAAGAAAAACTCCTTGAAATGGGAGAAGAAGAAGAAAAAGGAGAAGAAACACTGGAGACTGAACTAACATTAAAAAAGAATCTAATTTCTATATAATGACCTTAACAGGATGTTCTTGAGCCCTCTTTCTTTTCCCGTTGTTAGTAGTCATCTTTGGTAAAGACTTCTGGAATAATTTAAATAGTGGTCACAAAATAGCTTCAATAATTGAAAAGGAAGGCAGTTCCTCCAGGCATAAAAGACCACTTGAGAGAATATACTCCAAAGGACTATGCCTCCTAAAACAACTGTGGCCTATACAGAGTGTGTGTGTCGATACTTGCAATCAATTTGATGACTCAGCTATGAGTAGGCTCCTTAGGTAAGTCAAGAGACAACTCCTGTGTAGCAGACACTGTAAACGCCCATACCCCTATCTATTCCACTTCAAAGCATGCTGGAGGATTTCTACTTGCCAATACATAAAGGAATTCAATAAAGAAATGCCTGCATTTCGATAAAGAAATACCTGCATTTCTTTTCCTGAGGATTTATCTGACCCTTGGAGTCTTCTTTGTTCATATTTACAAAAGGCCAGAAACAAACAAACAAACAAACAAAAACAGTGAATTAACACTTCCTAGGGAAAGGCCTTAAACAATGACTGATGGAAATTGGAGGATAAATACCCCAGTTCTCTCACTCTTTTGTGTGGGATGGCCCTGGTACATGTTCTATACCAGCTCTTAGATTTCCCCAGTGGGATCAGGCTCCAATCACCCACAATACTAATTTGCTTGATTATAAAACTTTTCTTGAATAACTTCTTAGTAAACTAATTGCACTCAAATTGTTGTGCCAACACTATTTCCAAAAGTAAAATTATAAAAATTGATACAATTGATAAAATAGCCTATATTCTTAGAACACCAATAATAGGTATATTGGAAGATAACATACAGCTCCAGTAAATGGAAGTTTCTTATTTAGGGTAAACAAATGGCAACATATAATAGCAAAGTTTCTTCTCCACAAATATATCTTAAATTCACAATAAATGATTCTTTGTTCAGTTGCACTTTGTCCCTAGCCTTCTGTGCAAATAGTGGGTAGATTTAAGTGATAGGAGTGAGTTTTCAGCTCTTCTAGAATGAGACAAACAAATATTTAATTTTTAAAATACCAATCTGGAAATGCTTTTCCATTTACTTATGTTTATTTTTTTATGGGAATAAATTTCTACTAAGCAATCACCCTTTTTGTTTCAACTGAGAATACAGCAACTGTGTCCACACAAAAGATGGGCACATACATTCTACTTATAGATGTATCTAGTCTAAGCAAAGATATTTTATAACAGTATTTACAATAAAATTTGAAAGAAAAAACCCTGGAATAAAGGATAGAGAAATTAGATCTAACATCTGATGACCTCAATTCATCTTTCACAATTGAAAGTAAACTCTAGTTCTTACCTGTTAGATGTAAAATTGTAATAGCCACTTTCCTCAAGGACTTCTTCAATCACAGTCTAAATTTTTTTTAAAAAAATCAGGTTAGTATTGAATTAAAAGCAACAAAATAAAATCATTCAGAGACACTGCAAAAACCTCACCTGCATCTGTTCATATGTTATTCCTTCCTCCAGTTCAAAGCTGGTTGGTAAGCCTGAAAAAGATAAATTATAGAAAGTCTGACATTTGGGTTCACATTTTCTTATTCTTTGCTGGCAATTATGACTTCAATCACAGGGCAAACAGGTCAACTTCTTAAAGATAAAGACGTAACAAACGAATTCCAAAGCATCTGCCTTGGCTTTGAATATTCAAATGTTTTGCTTTTCTTTCTTTAATAACTGACTTCCTTGGGCATGGCCATCACAAAATGATATATGAAGATTAAGGGGTATTGCTCATAGTGTCCAATTAAGTTAGAGGTGTGTGTGTGTATGTGTAAGGGCAATTGAGGGGTGATTCCAAATCCAAATTACCTGATGGGTGTTTTCTGATTAAGAAACTCTCCCTAATCCACAAGCCAAGAAGAATAAATATACATTAGAAAGAAAATGGATTCTTACAGGGAGGCAGATATAGATGTGAAAGACAGCAAAGATCTGATTCTTTCATATAACTGCCTAGAGGGAATAAATATATTTATTGCCAGAAGACTTTCAAAATGTTTATTATTACTATTATTATCATCATCATCATCTTGTAAAGATAGGGTCTTACTATGCTGCCCAGGTTGGTCTTGAATTCCTGAGCTCAAGTCATCCTCTTGCCTACAGCTTTCCAACATCTGTATATTATAAGCATGTGCCACCATGGCTGGCCAGACTTTTTATTTTTTTACATTTAATTTAATTTTAAGTTCCAGGATACATGTGCAGGATGTGCAGGTTTGTAATATAGGTAAACATGTGCCATGATGGTTTGCTGCACCAGTCAACTCATTAGCTAGGTATTAAGCCCAGCATGCATTAGCTATTTATCCTGATGCTTTCCCTCCCCTCACCCACTCCACCACCCCGACAGGCCCGACTGTGTGTTGTTCCCCTCCCTGTGTCCATCTGTTTTCATTGTTCAGCTTCCACTTATAAATGAGGACATTGGTGTTTGGTTTTCTGTTCTTATGTTAGTTTGCTGAGGATAATGGCTTCCAGCTCCATCCATGTCCCTGCAAAGACATGATCTCCTTCCTCTTTATAGCTGCATAATATTCCACGGTGTATATTATGCCACATTTTCTTTATCCAGTCTATCATTGATGGGCATTTGGGTTGATTCCATGTCTTTACTATTGTGAATAGTACTGCAATGAACATATGTGTGCATGTATCTTTATAAGGGAATTATTTATTTTTCTTTGGGTATACACCCAGTAATGGGATTGCTGGGTCAAATGGTATTTCTGGTTCTAGGTCTTTGAGGAATCGCCGCACTGTCTTCCACAATGGTTGAACTAATTTACATTCCCAGCAACAGTGTAAAAGTGTTCCTATTTCTCCACAGCCTCGCCAGCATCTGTTGTTTCTTGACATTTAAATAATTGCCATTCTGACTGGCACAAGATGGTTTCTCATTGTGGTTTTGATTTGCATTTCTCTAATAATCAGTGATATTGAGCTTTTTATCATATGTTTGTTGGCCACATAAGGAGCTCCAGAGGCCCAGGAGCTCTCTGCCACGTCTTCATTTGAGTAGTGTCTGTTCATGTCCTTTGCCTACTTTTTAATGGGGTTGCATTTTTTCTTGTAAATTTGTTTAAGTTCCTTGCAGATTCTGGATATTAGACCTTTGTCAGATAGTTAGACTCCAAAAATTTTCTCTCTTTCGGTAGGTTGTCTGTAACCTCTAATGATAGTTTCTTTTGCTGTGCAGAAGTTCTTTAATTAGGTCCCATTTGTGAATTTTTGCTTTTGTTATAACTGCTTTTGACATTTTTGTCATGAAATCTTTGCCCATGCCTATGTCCTGAATGGTATTGCCTAGATTTTCTTCTAGGGTTTTTATAATTTTGGGTTTTACATTTAAGTCTTTAATCCATCTTGAATTAATTTTTGTATAAGGTGTAAGGAAGGGGCCCAGTTTCAATTTTCTGCATGTGGCTAGCCAGTTCTCCCAGCACCATTTATTAAATAAGGAATCCTTTCCCCATTGCTTGTTTTTGTCAGGTTTGTCAAAGATCAGAAGGTTCCAGATGGATGGTCCTATTTCTGAGTTCTCTATTCTGTTCCATTGGTCTGTGTGTCTGTTTTTGTACCAATTAATGCTGTTTTGGTTACTAAAGCCTTGTAGTATAGTTTGAAGTCAGGTAACATGATGCCTCCAGCTTTGTTCTTTTTGCTTAAGATTGTCTTGCTGTACAGACTTTATGATGGTTGATCAGAATTTGGTATACTAGCACCTTAACCCACTCCGATGCCACCCAAAGCCGTGTTGACCAGCTTTCACTCAAACCAATCAACACTGGCATGTAGAGGCCCAGGAGCTCTCTGCCACTTCAAGTAGAGAAGACAGAATGGGTTTAGGGTCAAGAAGAGACATGAAAATGTGAGTATTGGCGGCTCATTTTTAAAGGCATTCCCCACAGTACCGGCAGGCTCTGCTGTTTTTGCTTTTGCCCATCCTGCTGTGACAAGGGCCACACCTAATCAGCTCTGGGGTGGGGCATCCAGCTGCGATGGGAGGAGTTTGTCAACTCACCCTCAGGTTTTTGAGAGACTTTTATCAAAGTTCTTCATTTCATCAGAGTTTCTATGATGAGGAGAAGTTTGGCCTGCAGATAAACTTCCCTGTCTTGGAAATGCTTTTAAAGCAAATGACTTTAAACAACATTTTATCTTGGATTTCTCAGGGATTATTTTAAATAAAATTCTGCATACATAGGGGTTAGCTTTATCCCAGAAGACCAAAGGAAAGTTTGTCAATTAATTCATGAAGTAATTCATTCAGTCAACAAAAAAGCACAACAAAATTGAGCATTTTTTCCAAGCTAAAGAGATGGCAAGTCTTCATTTAACTGTAAAATCTTCACTTCTATCCACTCCTCCAAGTGACATAGCTACCGTTTACAAAGATTAAAAAATTATTTAGGAGCACTGAAACCTCAGAGTAGCTTGAAAGCTTCCTCTTAGAATTCAGATATGACAAGAAGAGTTCAGTTATGCTGAGCCCCTACTAATAGACAGGTACTTTTTATTTTTACTCTAATCCTCACTATAACCTTATGATGCAAGTATTTATCCCCATTTTACAGGCAAGGAAACTGGGGTTCAGAGAGGTTAATTGCCCGTAGTCAGCTACTAAATGGTGTAGCCGAGGTTTGAATCTAGGCACCCAGGTTTCCAGAATCTGTGCCTTTAAATCCCTATGCTATACTGCCTCCCTACGTGAATTTTATGAAAAAGAAACAAAAATTCAATGTGTCTAATGTGGATTCTTCAGGTGAGTTTCAAGGTTTCTCTATTTTGAATATTTAAACTCTTTATTTCTGCTCTTTATCTCCCTGCATGCTTTAGGGAATTTGATTTCCCATCATCAGATAAGCGAAAAGAAATAAAAGGAAATACAACTCACCCACACAGATTCTGCTGTTTGTTTATGATATTAATAAATGATCAAGGAAGCTGCCACAACTGGGTAAGATAAATCTCAGGGAATTTCTAGATTCCTACCATATGTGCCTTCCAACTATTGCCATAAATAATCAAAATAAGCTCTATTAAAAAAAAATTGAAGATAATCTTTTAGAAATAGCTGTTGATCCAAACAATGTATTTCTTCATGAAAGCCAGATTACCCAAGTTGATCAATATTACCTGTTGGGTCATTTGGGGACAGGCTGTTTCCACTGGATGAATGATGTAATAAATGGTAATCTGCTGTGAAAAAGTTGGGCTCAATTGGTTCTGGAGATCCCTGAGATAACTGAAATGGAAAAAGCAAAATCACATCTTAGTTTACACTCAGAAGGAAATGACAGGAGACCTCTGTGTGGGGTTTTTCATTTCCCTATGTCTCTGAACAGAAAATTTGTGGCCTGTGGTTTTCATTCCCTTGTAAATAGATAAATAAATAATCTTCTTTCCAAGAGAATTTATAAACTGGATGCAGCAAAATAACAGGGAAAGCAAGTTAGACAATTCTCTGGTCATATGAAAAAATATACTTTATGGCCTTATGAGAGCAAAAGAAAAATGAATATAAAAATACTGGCATGAACCTGGGACATCAAGATGTTATTTTTATCAGGCATAGGAGGAATAAACTCCAATTATTCAACAGAACAATATGTTTAGCCCAAATCACTATTTTTTTTTCATGTATCTGCTTTGAATAATTCCTTTTTGTTTGACCAAGGCAAGTAAGTTTCTTTTTTTCTTTTTTTCTACAACAGTGTCTCACTCTGTCACCCAGGCTTCAGTGAAGTGGCAGGATCTCGGCTCACTGCCATCTCCACCTCCATGCTCAAGTGATTCTCCTGCCTCAGCCTCCCAGGTAGCTGGGATTATAGGCACCCGCCACTATGCCCAGCTAATTTTTGTATTTTTTTTTTAAGTAGGAATGGGGTTTCACCATGTTGGCCAGGCTGGTCTCAAACTCCTGACCTCGGGTGATCCACCTGCCTCGGCCTCCCAAAGTGCTGGGATTACAGGCATGAGCCATCGCATCTGGCCAAATAAGTTTCTTAATACATTTTTCTAAATTACTATTAATTAATTTTAATCTCCAAATATTAATTCCCAGCACTCTGAAGGAAAGAGTAATTTGCCAAATGACAATATTTATTAAAGTTTCATTCATTTAATGCCTTTCTATAAAGCTGAATTTTTCAAGTAGAATTTTAGACCATAAATGTTTTTCAACCTCCTTTCACCTTTAATTCCAATTATCACTTGGGCTGGCCAAGTTTTAGTGCCTAAGTTACTTTTAAAATATAAATTCATAATAATAAATCAGAAACAAATGGCATAATTTGTACTATGCAATAGTAGTTAGCTTGTATTCATATACTTTGTTTATGAGTTAAAATACATCATTGTTCAATCACTTGAGAAAGCTATTTGGCAATATACACTACAATTTAATAATATATGCCTATCCTGTGACCCAGCAATCCCACTCTTAAGGATTTTTATGAGAGAAATAAGTGCATATGTCCCATCAAAAGACATGTATAAGAATATTCATGGCACCTTTTCTTCATAATAACTAAAACCTGGGAAAACCCCCACTGTCCATGGAGAAAAGAATGGATAGATATATATCATGGTGTGTTCATACAATGGAATTCTGCAAAGCAATAAAAAAAAGAACAAACTATGGATACTCATAGCAACATGGTTGAGTGTTGGACAAAAGAAGCCAGAAACAAAATACATAGTGTATGACTTCATTCTTATAAATTTTCATCATCAGTGATATATGGTTTGGCTGTGTCCTCACCCAGATCTCATCTTGAATTGTAACTCCCACAATTTCCATGTGTCATGGGAGGACCTGGTGAGAGGTAATTGAATCATGCGTGTGGGTCTTTCCTGTACTGTTCTTATGATAGTGAAAAAGTCTCACAAGATCTGATAACTTTAAAAACTGGAGTTTGCCTGCACAAGCTCTCTCTTTTTGCCTGCTGCCATCCGTGTGAGATGTGACTTGCTCCTCCTTGCCTTCTGCCATGATTGTGAGGCTTCCCCAGCCACGTGGAAATGTAAGTCCAATTAAACCTCTTTCTTTTGTAAATTTCTCAGTCTTGGATATGTCTTTATCAGCAGCATGAAAATAGACTAATACAATCAGACAAAACTAACCAAGGGTAACAGATATCAGGTAATGATTACATTGTGGCAGGAGAAGTAATGTGGTCAGGAAAAGGCACAAAGGGGTCTTCTGCAGAGCTAGAAATATTCTATATATTGATGTGGGTGGTGGTCATATGGGTGAAAATGTGTTCATAAAACTTCATGAGGCTGTATATGTACCTCATTGTACTCATTATGCATTTATACCTTAAAATATTTTATATTGGTAATTAAAAATTAGTTTTTTCCATCAGTGTACTTTGGATATTGTAAATACAAATAATTTATGGGTCGCCCAGTCTCCACGTTGACAAACACCTACTACCCTCTAAGGAAAAAAATATGTGATTATATCCATTCTTATCAGTGATAACTGATAACTGAGGTAATTGGATCATGGGGGTGGTTTCCCCAGTGCTGTTCTCACGATAGTGTGTGAGATCTCATGAGATCTGATGGTTTTATAAGTGTCTGGCATTTCCCCTGCTTGCACTCATTGTCTCTCCCACCACCCAGTGAAGAAGTGCCCTCCACCATGATTGTAAGTTTCCTGAGGCCTACCCAGCCATGTGTAACTGTAAGTCAAGCCTTTTTGCTTTATAAATTACCCAGTCTCAGGTATTTCTTCAAGCAGCCTGAGAACAGACTAATATATAACCCATTTGTAATATGACAAGATTGTAAGATTATAAATACAGTAATACAGCAGACCCTGATAATCACACACTTAATAATTTTCTCATCTGTGCTATAAGGTATCATGGAGGTAGCCCTGAGCATTCTGTACATCTCATATCCCAGCTTGTAGGTGGTTACAACTAAGCTTTTTAATGTCTTGTGATGCTGAAAATGATTTCCTGGTATTACCTTTCAAATGACTTCAGATGGAACTTTTCGTATGGTTTAGCATAAGAGTAATTGGCTGCCTAAAATCTCATCCTAATTAGAAAAAGCTTACTTAACTTATTAAGTTTATACCTTGGAATTCTAAATATTTCCCAGACAGAAAGATATTTAAAGCCTCAAAGAAAATTATGTGAATTGTGACTTGGAGAGGTCAAGACTGCCATTTTAAGATGACAAGGACAAGTCCTTTTCATTGATCTCAAACCCCGAAGAGAGGAGTTTTTGAGATTTCCAGTGCTTATGTCACATTGGTAGTCTCACTGAGCTTAAGAACTGGACATTTTTAGAGATATTGGTACACAGATGAAGGCAAGGACTAAAATTCATTTTGTGATGAATCCCAGATACACTGACTTTCATTCTAGGAACTTCCCAGAACTACTTTTTGCAGTTTTGTTTCTAGATATACACATTGTTTTGGCAAACAATTTTTTGCCCCCTAGTATATGTTGGACAGCATGGTTTATGATCTGAGCAGGATGCAGAAATGATCTGGTTTCTGTGAGACTTGTAATCTGACTAGGAAAACAGGATAATAATGTAAAAAAAATAGGGTGATATCATAAATCATGAACTGTGAAATGAAATGATGATTTGTAAACTTACAAAAAGAAGGGTCCTTCATGAAGACTAGCATGGTTTTTTAAAGAGGTTCTGTAGAAGAAACACTGGAGCTGATCTTTGAAGGATAAATTTAGGTAAATCATAGCAATCAAAGTGGATGTTCCAGGTAGAGGGAACTTGGAGGTAAAGGTTGGGCATTGCATATTAATGGAAAGTGATGAAAGGGAGATGACATGATTCTGTGTTATAGAGATATGGGCATTCATGATGAAATGAGGAAAACAAGTTCCATTCATTCATTTAGTATTTTTAACCAATTATTTTGTGCCAAGCAGAGATCCAAACAATGAACAAACCCATTGATGGCCAAAAATTATACTCTTGGAGTTCGCTAACTACTTAGGGAGAAATATGTCTGTGAAATATCCACCTAGATATATGTAAAATTACAACTGTTCTAAATGCATTGAAAGATAGGTTTGTGGTTTTAGGAGGTAGCAGATAGATTTGACTTAGTCAGCAAAGGCTTCCATGAAAAAGTGACATTTATGCCAAGAGCTGTAAGAATGAGTAGATGGGGTGAGAAGAACATTACAGGCAGAGCAAAAAGCACGTACAAGACTATGAAGGAAGCAGTATGCTAGATAAACACATTTTAGGAAGGGCCTGGTGGCTGATGTGGAGACAGCAAGGGGCAAGAGTGACACGAGATGAGGGTGAACAGAAGGGCAGGAGTTGGACCTGATTTTGGAATTTTATACTGAGTTCCTTAAAGGATTTTCTGTGTTTTGTGTGTGTGTGTGTGCAAGTGTGACATGATCTGTTTTGAAAGGTTCATCCTGGGTGTAATACACAAAACAGTTTAAATGGGGTTGGGAACATCAGGGTGAATGCAGGCAGACTATAAAGAGGCTCCTACAAATGAGGGGGGCCTGGAAAGTGGGATCCCAGAGTTTAGATGATGAGACAGACAACAGGAATCTACTAAGGTTTTTGAGTGTGCTAATAAAAAAAATGCTTAATAACTATTAGTCTGACAATAGTTAGACTAATAGTTATTGTTGGAGAACAAGAAAATCAGCAAAGAAGCTATGACACTAATGCAAGAGAGAAGGGCTCAGAGCTTAGACTAGATGGCAACCAAAGGAAGGAATGGATATGGAAGACTGAATATTCTTATTTAACAACAATAGTAGCACTAATTGACATGTATTGAATACTTACAACATTCTAGACACATTAGATATTCCATTTGATTCTTACAACTACCCTCTAAGGCAAGTATTACCCCCTTTTACAAACAAGGAAATGGAGAAGGAAAGTAATTTACACAAGAAACATAGCTATTAAGTGGCAGAACCAGGGCCAGAAGCTAGGGCTGTCTTACATCAAAGGTCAGAACCTTAGAGACTACAGACTACTCAGGCATCAGTGACTTGGGGGGTAAAAGAAATGAAGCAGAGCAGGTGAAAAAGCATGAGGTTTAAAGAATGAGCTGAAGGAAAACTGATGCTTTCAAGGAAACTGACCGCAGACACAGGAAGGGAGGAGAAGGTGGTGAGTCTAATTCCAGACAGGCCAGATGGCAAAGTAAATGTTCACCCAGCAGGTAGAAATATGGAGGATACAGCAGAACATCTTTAAGCAGAGTCCCCAGTG